GGAGGAAGAATTCAGATTTACCAAGATGTTTTGTAACAGAACATACAGACAATCAGTGATGAAAGATGCCTATTTCTAACTAAATACAGTATATTCTTCCCCAGAGATGCTGCAAGTCATAAGTCTTTTTGCATCAAACAACACTGTCAACACATTATTCAAATATAAAAAACTGTGAAAGAAAAAGATGCATCATTTCTCTAAGTCTGTTAAAGTTACAGTTCATGAAAATCAAATTACCAATGCTTAAATATTTGCGCATATAATATTGACAGTTCATTTTCACTTGGCACCTATTTTTATATGAAGGAAAGTCTGTTACAGTATATGTGTGAAATACATCACAGGATAAAAAGATGCTGTTTTACATAATCTGTGAGAAATGTGGATATGACCTGATTATATTTTTCCATTCGGCCTCTTTTTATCAGATCAGCTGTTTATTTTTGGGTTCCCAAATGTTGTTTCGAGCACAGTTTTTTTTTCGGTTTGCTGTGGCCTGATTCGACACATACTGTAACGTTAGCAGAGCTGCCACTTTAACTGCTCCCCCCACTCTGGTGCCGTGGTCCTCTGGTGGTGTTAGGTTTCCTTTAATTGGATCTGTCTGGACCATCTGTGAACACACTATGTGGGCAGTTGAGGTGTGTTTTTGATGTGTTTGGGGCATTTCCTGTAAGTCTGAGATTATAAATAACTCCAGGAAGACAAAGTTGTGGTGTGTATGTAAAACAAACATCTAGGACTTCCTGGTGGATGAGCAAGCTGGGTCTTGGTAATGTCTGAAGACTTCTGCTGCATGTTGTCTCTCATTCCTTTCCAGTACGTTTCATTTCATCCTCTAATGTATTTTAAACATTGTGAAAAATGCACTGAACTCCAATGACCTTGACTGTTAAGTGTTAGCAAACTGCTGTATGAGCTAATCACACAGGTGAGTGAGATGGATCATAACCTTGTGTGAATAATGTCTAAAACTATTAACGTACTGCCCACATTGTAACAAACTGAATTTTCTGTCAGTGGGGTTCTCAAACAATTTAGCACTGCACCTCAATAAAACCGGGGGTTCACAACAGACATTTTTATAAATCAGCAGCACAGACTTTGACATAAAGCGACTCTCCTAAAATGTTCAATTCTCCAAACTCAGTGAGCTTTCACCAGACTCTCTCTGCTTGCTGAACATCTACAGTAGGTCTTTCAAGACACCAAGATCCCAGTCTGTAATGCAGGGTTCTTGTTTTAGTCTCCAAGCCCAGGCTGACATAAACCTGATAACATCATCAGTTACCTTCTCAGCATTGACAAAGCTCCTCCAGAGCCGCAGAGGACAGTACAAACCGGAGGAATAAACCGACTTTGATGTGAAAGTGAAGTCACAGTTAGTCAGTAACTTTTACAGCCTGACATTATATCAGTATAAAGAAAAAGGGTGTCTGTGTTTGACTGGGAGCGGTGTGTTGTTAGTGGCGTTGAAGAGTAAGGAGCACAGCTGCACTTAAACAGACCTAAGTGACATTTGCAGGTATGAACCGTTCATTGTGCAGCAGCTAATTACTGTAACTACAGCATGTCAGCTGATGTTCAGTGTTTGTTTGGTGCCTGTTCGACGAGCTAAGGCTCAAGACAAGGCATGGCCACGTCTGTAAGCCCAATACAGTAAGCAGGGGACTTTAGCAGGGCAGCTAATGTGGGTTGTTGTTCACAGTTTATGACTTTTGTGTTGTGTCTGGCTCATTTTGAACATCTGCTGTACCTGTGAACAAACACTGATGTTATCATTGAAAACAGCAAGATAAATAAAAACAGCTGCCTTCATCCACTGACCTCTTGTATGTGTTGATGATCCAGTCCAGTAAGTGGTACAGATCCTTTAGCTCCGTCGCTTGCTGCTCCAGGTTTTTCAGGTGCTGCCCGACGACTCTGTGGTAACTCTGCACATAAACGCTGAAGACTCTGAAGCTGGGTGGGTAGAACAACTGCAACACACTCTTCACGTTCTCCAGGTCCTCCACGATGGTCTTACCCAGCAAAGCCAGATGGATAGCCAGCCAGGAGGCGTTCTGCTCCCTATGCTCCAGGGCAACAGTCTCCACCTTCACCTGTACCCCCTGGTCCACCGCATCCCTCCAGGCCTGCATCCAGCCGCCGCATAGCGCCCCAGGTTCCTTCTCCTCCTTCTGGATAATGTCGGCCACAGTGACCAGTAGCTCGTGGTTGCTGGAGGGAAGGGAGTTGGAGTTGCACACTATGGTGGTGATCTTTTCCCTCAAATATTTGTAGAGGAGCATGATGTCATTTTCCTTTTTGACCAGGTCCATGGACGAGGACCCGTTGGAATGATCCCTCTCCTGCTGGAACTCCCGCCACAGGAGGAGCAGATTCTGGTGAGCATCCTCCAGATACTCCTTCTCAATCAGCTGGTTGATCTGCATCACTGAGAACAAAGGGAGACGACGGTGAATCTCACCTGCAGTGAAGCTGTGGCGCCTAGAGCGGCAGGAACAGGACAGCCAAAAGACACTTTACTGTCGTATACCACGGTATACAACAGTAAACTATAGTGGTACCATAGTAGGCTATAGTCGTACCCCAGGCATTACCATGGTAAGTACAATGTACTCTGGTAAGTACAGTATCTCAGACAAACATACATTTTATTAATCCTTTGAATCTTTCATATTTCATTCATTCACTTAATTGATATATCAGCTGCAGAACTACATCTTTTCTAAGATGACAAGACTTACGTACACCTTGGGGCTCTAGACCCTTCCTGTGTGTACCTGACAGCGGTGTATATGTCTCCTGGAGCTCATCTCGCACCACCTCCTCCATATTCTCCTCCTCCTCCTCCAGTGACTGTTTGTTGCCACAGAATTCATCTTTCTCTTTACCGAAAAATCTTAGGCTTCGACGAATGAATGCCCTTTGAGTGGGCATACCGGGATCTGAGGATGGAAAGCACACAACAATATGTTGGCTTGGACCTGTCCACACAGGATTTCTGGCCATTTCAGTATACTGTTAAGTGACCCATATCAGTGCACCTGCATAAACAAAGAGCCAAAAAAAACATGTGCGGCAAGATTCTGAAAGCAGAGTTTACTCTTTGACAAAAATCTAGCCCGTCTCTCATTCAGTTTGATCAAAATTGTTTTTACTCTGTCATTTTAAATCACGTTTGTCTGTACTGTCCGTGCTGCATGTCCTCGTCGCTGTCTTGCCTTGTTAATTACCCTGTCTTGAGCTGTTTTAATGCCATGTGGTGAAGCCAAACCTCAAAGTGATCTGCAGGTTAATCTGATGAAAACTCTTAGGTTTGGCATCCGTTCCCTTTTCCAACAAACCCACAGCTCAGGCTTTACCTTTGTTCAATATTTGTTTAACTGTAAAAACAATATGCAAAAAGGAACGACGACGCATCCTGTTTGGAAAATGAGAACTTGTTCTTCTAGTGTGTTTCATTAGCATTACAACCTACAGCGCTGCTCTGGTGCATCATTTACAACTCCATATCTCTGCTCAACATTTGTTTACTACCCATGTAGCAGCCATGACATCACATCCTTTCTTAATGTGGGTCCCTATAGTTGAACAGAAGAACAAAGTGATCTACTTTTACAGTTAAACCTGAAAGACAGGTGTGCTGGGAGCTTACCTCCACCCTCACTGCTAACATTCTACTTCTAGGGAAAACAAAACCAAAACCAGGCTAGCTGTACATTTAAAATACATTATATGGCCAAAAGTATGTGGACATCCCTCTTTACATTGGTGGCTGTTTTGCATTATTAGTTCCAGTTAGGGGAAATGTTAATGCTGGAACATACAGTGATGTGGAAATTGAAAGTTCATCCTTGGAATTGGAACAGCAGCTGATAAAACAGTCTCACTACAACCTGCACGGGCAATTAAGTTTTAAGATAACACAGGTAAGTTCATCAATCAGTAATCAGGGCATTCTCTACTGGTACAACTTGAATGTTGCAGCCAGGATGTCCACTTTTTGTGTAAATTCACAGGACTATCATACACTATTATATACTGCACAGCTTAATAAAACAAGTCTGTTCATATAAGGTACTGGAGTGACAGGTGTGATACTAAAACATTTCTTTACCAGTGTTTGAACGTGTCAGACGTTTGCTTTTCTGTGGAGTGACATCGGACTCATCTTCCTCTTTTCTCTGGAATAATCTCCCGATGGTCTTCAGGGGAGAAGTGACTGGAGAGCCGACGCTCAGACCTGCCAGGGGGACAGAGAGAGGTGGCTGATTGATAACAGCAGGGATGTCTCTCAGTGAACTGTGGCACCACACAATCACATCTGTCTTTGTCAAGTCAGCAGGATAAGAAACCAATCTTAGTGCTTTAACCTGGAGTGGATTAAGGTGTATTTATGTGATTGTACAGACATGTGTGCATGACTTGGCATGTGCACATGTCTGTACTGTGACCTAAAACGAAACTGGCTGGAATGCAATATTAAGACATGATGAAAACAGAGATTAGTGTGGCTGAGCTCCAGAAAGTGAAAGTCACCGTTCGAGTCTTGAAAGCAACCTGCTCTTGTTTCTGCCGTGAAACAAAGATTTCTACAAATGGCATGACCTCTATTTGTCACCTCTATGACAAATAGAGGGGATTACAACATACTGTAGTTTGACAAACTCTAAAGGTTGGGAAAGACTGGTGAAGAAAAGAGAAACGTGTGCTCCTGCTCTTTCTGCTCTACATTCCCACACATTTGCTCTTTCCACCTTCACAGACCATTTTCCTGCACCTGCCTGCAAATCACACTTCACAGCGGATTTCAACCATGATAGCACTCACTGTCTGACAGTGGCGATGATGGATCGCAGGGCCCCAAATCACTGCTGGCTGTGTCTGCTTTAAGTATGCCCTTTGACCCCTCGATCGGGCTCCTCTCTTCAGCAGATTGCCTTTGGAAGCTGTTTCTAAGCGACTTCAGCTTGCCCTTCAGAGAGTTGTTGTTCAGTGTCTTGCTGTTGCCGTTGACTGACACTGTGTCCTCCTCTGGGTTTTCAGCGGACTTGTCCATCAGTTCTGACATCTCGCCTCGTTAGAAACACCCAACTGTGAGGAAAAATACATCAAACGACAGAAAATGTCAGCCTGCACTCTGCTCTAACAGGAGTGTGTGTGAAACTGCAGGAAAGCTGGGTTACTGTAGTCAGCAGGGGCGGTTTTGTTTACAGGTAACATGACTACCTGCCAGAGCAGTTCTCAACATGGTGAGAGAAACTGTAAACAAAACTGAACCTGGGAATCTGTACCCATGAACTCAGGGGAGTCCTGGACCAGGTAGCACAGTGGGCTTTATTTAAGGATGAAGAAGAAGAAGAAAGGAACCAAAAGCCAGCAGCAGTATTTATGTCTAAAGGCGCTTTTCCATCGCCTGGTAGCGACTGACCTCGACTCAACACGACTCACTTTTGGTACTGGGTGCTTGGTAACAGTGGAGGACATCGACAGTAAGCTGTTCTTGATTCTCGGTATGTGGCTGTTTTTAGTTAACTACAGTAAAGTAACGTTAGCGTTAAAGAACACTACCTTTAAAAATTGCACTTTCTTTGTTCCAGGATGTCTTGCACGTTGATGACTAGCGATTTCTCTGACCAGTCATTACTGCAGTGTTTACACGTGGATGTTTGGTGTCACCTCTGCTCGCATGGGACCTCGACAGAGGTGATACCAAAAACAGTACCAGGTACCAGGTACTATCCCCAACATTTGACTGGTGGAAACACAAATAAGGCGAGTACTGTGGTTTTCACCCACAGTGAAGCCACACTTGTATTATTAATGTAGGATGCAGTTCAGACCTATAGTAGCACTTTGGAGCTGCTTTTCTATGGGGGTGTTGCAGTATTCCCCTGATCTGCAGGTGGCAGTAACAAGCCAGGACGTTACTGCCACACATAGTAAACTGTGAGTAGTCCATGATTAGATTCATTAGAAACTAAATCCCCCTCAGTGAACAGGTTTCTGACACTTTAAGGTTCTGTAAAACAAACTAACCGTTGTTGATTTTGTAGAAAATAATATAACTTCTATTAAACTTCTCATTACTTTCTCAGACATTTGCAAAGTAAATAAAGGACTCGGTGGTTGGACTGAAAGCCCACCAGGGGGATAAACATGACTCGCATGTTGACATTTGGCACGCGTTTTACGCTGGATGACCTTCCGGACGCGACCCTGACAGCGCTGCCTTAACCAGCAGACAACCAGGGACGGCTCAGCTTCTTTCTTCTAAGTGTTTTCAGCTAAATAATCGGTTGCTTACACGACATAACATTTTACAGGCTTGTCAAGACATGCTTTTTATCGAATAACTCTTTAAATCTTTAAAGCAGTGTTTCAAGGTGAAATAAGTAAACAAGGTGGCCTATAAACCCAGAGAGCGACAGAGTCCACCAGACGGAGCAGACTAACGTCGTTACCGTGTCCCACCCTCTGTATTTGACTGAAAAACTAAAACCGGAATAACGCATGCAAACTGTAGCCGACACTGACTTTCATAAAGGTTTACAAAGAAAAGAAAACGACACCTCACCTGTGGAGCTCAGGTAGAAAGTACCTTATATATTACCTGTATTTCGGTTTCACTTTCTCAGCCTGCAGAGATTAAAATAGGGGAATTACCACTGTGCGCGTGTCAGGACGTGACAAAGACGGTAAAAGTGTAAAGAGGCAAGCCACAAGGACGCAAATAAAATCCCGTGTGTTCCTCTGCTGTTGGGATTTGTTAATGATTGGACAGTCATAAAGTGAGTTTAGCACAGTCAGCAGCTGGAGAGGTCAGATCTGTACAAGCTGAATGACAGGGTTTGTGACTTTTACAAACACTGATCAGTTTACAGCCTTTCTTTCTTTCTTTTAAACCCAGAATGTGGCGTTTTTGTGCGACTATACTGCGTTTAAGAGGCTCAGGTTCATTAGGTCAGAGTCAAGATCAAAGTGTTTATTTGTCATATGCACAGTTAGGAAACGTGTTTCCCTGTACAATGAAATTCTTACTTTGCCGTCCACATGAATGCCACAAAATACAAATGAAATATAAAGTAGATGAATAAGTAACACAACATCTAAGGCACTTTAAGCAGCAAATGCAGCAATATAATAAAAATACATAAGAATATAATAAGAGAATGTATGCTGCATGGGAGCAGCATGTGCAGCAGTCAACAGTCAATGTGCAATTATCCATGTGCAAACTGAGAATGTAAACAGTACAGGTCCACAGTACATGATGTATTTCCTGGTAATAAACTCCTCAGCTGTTTAGGAGTCTGATGGCAGAGGGAAAGAAAGAGTTTTTCAGTCTAGTTGTCCTGCATTTCACACTTCTGAACCTCCGGCCAGAGGGTAGGGAGGCGAACAGTCCGTGCTGAGGGTGAGTGGGGTCTTTGAGGATGGAGGCAGCCTGCCTACGCACCCTGTGGTGGTAAGTGCTCTGCAGAGAGAGCAGTGGAGTCCTGGTCATCTTCTCCACAGTCTTTACCACTCTCTGCAGGTGCTTGCGGTCCATAGCAGTAGTACTGCCGTACCAGACAGTGATGCAGCTGGTCAAGATGCTCTCGACGATGCAGCTGTAGAAGTTGCAAAGGATCCTAGGCGACATGCCAAACCTCCTCAGCCTCCTCAGCCTCCTCAGGAAGTACAGCCGCCGCTGGGCCTTCTTGACCAGCTGTGTGGTGTTAAGTGTCCAAGTGAGGTCCTCACTGATGTGGACGCCCAGGTCTTTGAAGCTGCTCACCCTCTCCACTTCGAGCCCCCGGATGAACAGTGGCCGATGAGATCTCCTCTCCCTCGTCATGTCCACTATCATTAGGTCTTAAATTAATATTATCAGTGGTGAAATAAATACTCAGTAACAGTCTACATCTGTATCAGAAAGACTGGATTAAAGTACTGAAAACACTTTTTAGGAAAAAAAAATATTCTCTGTGCAAATTCTCATAGTATGCTGAAAACCCTTAGAAGAAGGCATCTGGATGTAGTTTTAGGTAGAAGATGATTCTCTCTCATCCAATAGATTTCATCAGTTCTGCTTGGCCGGTGGTGAGCAGGAGGTATTTATCTCACCTGGTGGGGTTTCAGTCCTTTGGTGGCAAACAATGTCCCGTTACCTGTCTTTGAACCCTCAGATGTGGACCAACACCTATTGTCCTGGTGTGAATTAAGGTGGAAATGTTTGGGCAGAGATTTGAAAACAGAGTTGTAGATGGATGACAAGTAATGTCTGAGTCCACTGTGTTCTATTTGGACAAAAATTGCTTCTTTGACTCTTCTGTCCAACCAGCGGTGTCCTCTGGGGAGGACCCAGAAGGATTCAGTGCTTCATAGGTGGTGGTGTCACTGAGGAGGTTGGAAACTCTGGTCTGATAGTCGGCTGAGTTTAGGACGACCGTACATCTGCCTTTGTCTGCTGGAAGGATTGTGATGGTTTCATCCTTCTCTAGTGCAGCTAAAGCCCTCCTCTCCTCAGGGGTAAGGTTCGTCACATGGCCTTTACAGTCACCACATCTTAACCTAGCTGAAAACCTAGCGGAAACTGTGGAGCAACGGGTCAGACAGAGACATAATGGAGCATTGAAGCTGCTCTGCTGGATCTGCCATGCCATTGACGTCCACTAGAGGATGATATGTGCTATGTCTGTCCCAGCCCCCAAACTGTTTTTGTGCCATGGTGAAGTCACTGCTTTGTCCTTTTTAATTGAACACAGAACACAGAGGTTTAATTATCTAAGTGGACAGACACACTGAGATTTGTTTTTAGCTGCTGTTTTAACCCAGATCTGAAACCTGCTGCACCTTCACGGCCAAAGAAGCACAGAGAGAAGATCAGTATCGAGCATTTCTGACCCAGATGAATGACCAACTGCCCCAGCTTGTGTGTGTGTGTGTGTGTGTGTGTGTGTGAAAGAAAGAAAGAGAGAGAGAGAGAGAGGGATACAGCGAGCACATTATAAATATACAATGTCAGCAGCTGCATAAGAGAAGTCATTACATCCTGTTCCTCCTCCTTCTTCTTCTTCAAGCCAAAGTCTTTAATGAAAACTGTAGGTAGATCTATAGAAAAACTAAGTAAAGTTCAAATTCTTGTTTTCACTTTGTAAATTTGGGACATTTACCCCAAAAAACATATTTACTTATTTGACATGTGGCAGCTGTCAACTTGTCATTTATAAAATATGCACTTTCATTTACAAACCACTGCAGGTTTGTATTGACGTGCATTTTAATAACTCCAGGTGTAAAATGAAATCCCAGTCATACCTTCCCTTACATTCATCGGTCTGTGTTGTTTTTTCTGTTAAGTTAAAATATGACATGTTACATAAGGTTTGGATCGTGGCATCTTATGATGCATTAGATTAGACGGGGGCTGCTGTAGTTAAGGTGTGTTATGCTGCAGTTTTTCTCATTTTCAGAGTCCTAGTTTCAAACACACATACAGCACAGACCCAGAGAAATACCATCCACATGACTCTACAGCTGAAATGCCCTGACAGAGCTGAAATAGCACAGAGTCGTGTCATTTGGACCAAATATTACATTTAACTGTGTGACAATAACACAGTCCACGTATGGGAATGAGATTTACTCGTGTCTGTCGGTCATCTGGTTGTCAGGGTGACACAGACAGCTCGGAGCCTTGCTTCCTGTCAGTCAAACAGTACCGCCAGACAGGAAATCACTCGACGGAGCTGCTGGTCAGGCTTCATCACAGCGTCGCTGCAGACAGAGCTCTGGCTTCTGCAGATACCATCTCTGCTCGTCAGAGACAATTGATCCAGGATAACCAAATGAACAAAGCTGCACACTGTGTCCAGTGAGTTCATCCTTTAAAATAAACCAGTAACTGTGAATCTCCATTTATTGCACAAAATCTGTTCTCTGCATCTTTTCTCCTTAATGCTTTCACAAGTGCAGTGAATTCAGTATGAGTAAAACATTTCCAGCACAGATCAGTCTGTAGACAGGGAACACCTTGTCACAGATTGTGTATGTTTAAATTTAGAGTAGATATTCTGTCTACTATTGTTTAGAGGGTGTTTTT